ATGACACCTTATTCTTTGTTTAAAATATAAATTCTCTGGAGAATATAATAGATGAATTACACTTATTTGGACAAGTTGCAAGCCCGATATTAGATAAAGATAAAACTGTTCTCTTCTAGATTGGAGATGACGAGAAAAGTTGGTCTTTTTCCGACCTTGATCTTAGTAGGTCAAGAGAACCTGGGGGTGTTTCACAAAGATCCTAAGTTGATCGTATCTCTAAGTTGGACTTAACAATTATGGAAATCTGTTAGCATCTCTGAAAATATTTGTAAAAGTTATTTTAAAAGGCATGAAATGTTGATTCAAATCATTTACACTTTCTATTATCAAGGAGACTTCATGTTCTTGACGTGGAATTTATGAAAAATGTGAAATGCTTGAATTTTGGTTTTTAATATATTTTATTTTAAGGCTACAAATGGCTCTCCATAATTTTTAAGTCCAACTTAGAGTTAAGTTCGACTTAGGATCTTTGTGAAACACCCCCCCCCCAGTACAGTTTTTAAGATATTTTATATCTGCAGACTTATACAATGCTACAAAATTGAGTTGGGAAAATAAATTGACCAAACTACAGAAACTCCTGGACAACTGAAGAAGCAGAAGCCTCACATTAATGGGAAGATTCACTGTTGTTACATCACTTGCCTTAAGTCAAATAGTTTACTTAATGATAGTAGACACGATTCCACCAAATTGTCTGAAGAAATTGAATCTATCAGTATTCAATTATATTTGGAATTCCAAAATCGAAAAGGTAAACATTTTCACCCTTACTCAAGATAATGGCCAAGGGGTTACGTATGGTTAACACTGAGAAACAGATATTGAGTTCCATTTAAGATGGATCGGTAGATTATTGGATGACAGTAAAGGTGCATGGAAAGATATGAGTAATTATTGTTTTGATTCGGTCGGTAGCGTAAATCTTCTGTTCAACTGTAACTACGACCATAAATCATTCGATGTCGAGAAATGGCAACTTCGCGATTTCTACTTAGAAATATTCCTAGCCTGGAATTATGTGAAAGGTTAAACTTGTAGTGAAAATAATCCTGTACAGTCAAGATAAATGTTTTCATAAGCAAATAATATGGAATAGCAAAACCATTGTTTTGAATACGAAGTCTTTATTTACGCAGATTGGTTTAGATGTGGAATCATTTATCTAAAAGACCTCTTTGAAATGTATTGCCTGTTAAAGACCTGTCAGTACGCCTTGAAACTAGGAAAAATAAGCAAAATATTGTATTCGATTATACTAAATTGAAGAAAGCTATTCCAAAGATTTGGTTCAATGATTTTACAAATGAAGAAACTGAACCAGTAGATCACATTCACTCTCTTGAAATTCCTTAATTTAAATTTGGAAAAGTGTCTCAAAATATCAGTAACGTAAGCAGCAAACTTTTCTACAATCTGATATTAATGAACAGAGACTCACCAACAGGTGCTATCATTTTGAGGAAAATGTACTACAAAGAAACTTTTGTCTGGTCTTCCGTGTTCAATAGGAATTTAACGTATACAGGGGAACATCGCTTGAGAGGGTTCCCTTTTAAATTGCTGTACAATATACTACCTGTTAGAAACAATATTTACAAATGGGGATTAGCAGACGACAGATACTTCCCCCAGTGCCACGCCATAGAGGACACAGTGTATGTGTTCATTGGATATGACCAGCACAAATATTTATTTGATTTTATCAAACATGTTGTGAAGTACATGTTGTTCTTTCGGAGTAACTATGGTTTTAGTGAAAACCGTTTCAGACTAAAATACGTATTTGAAAGAGAAATTTAAAAAGGAATTGTTGTAAATAAGGAGCTAAACAAAACAGACAAAAGGCTGCCAGAGAAATGGTTAAAAGCAATTTAGATGATAAGGGGTAAAATATTGTACAGCTGAGAAAATTGAGTACATTGTACTTCGATTATATTTGTTCTCACATCTATATTATTTTTGATGCTTGAATGTAAAAAAAACACCTCATTTGAGGCACGTAAACTGAAACAAATCATCAACATAACCACCTCAAAACACCACCCCCATCACTACCACCATTATCATCATCATCATCGTCATCATAATTCACATCTACTTTCGATTCGAAGCATTTCTTTCGACGTGTGTTAAGCTGCTAAAGTAAACACTCCGCTAAAGTGTAACCCGACGCCTAAGTTTCTGAAAATGAAGTTCACTTCAGCGAACGGGCATCGCGGCCGTATTGTACGTGTTATCGGCGCGCGCGGAGGCGTGATGAGGTACTGACCAGTGTCCAGCAATTTATGCATCACATTATACTCATCATAGTGATAGTCTTAATGGCATGTGGCAACAAGAGTTACTGAATTCAGTTTATTATGTAATTAAGTACCTTAACAGGCATTATCGTGAATGTACGAGTGTACACGAAGTTTGGGGAGAAGGAGAAGGAGGCAAGAGGATTGGAAAACTTTTAGAGATATCCGCGAATGGTACGAGAAGAAAAGTTTGTTATCCTCAATAGCTTTAGCGTGAGAAATTGAGAAGATGTTATGAAAACAAACACATCAATTTGATATAGTAAATATGAAGCCACGAAACGATGCGCGTCTTTATATTTTTGTGACGGTAAATATAACGGAGGAGATAGTTATTTATGCTGAATCATATTCGGACTACATTACATGATAACACCATTTTGTTAGAATCATAGGAAATCAAGAGGAGCTATAGGCTATACCTGTATTTACATTATTTGCGTACCTCAACTACATTAATGTGTTATAGTGCAATACTACCAGATAATAATTTGTGCTATTTGTAATATAACAAACGCCCTGTAAGATGTTGCCTTTCACATATTATTTCTAAAAGTTTTTTTTATTTTTATCTTTTTCCATATGGTTGATATTTAAGCGAGATCTACTGCTTCATATAAGTAAAGATTTTTCTTTAAATTTATAGAAAGATAAACATGATAAAAAGAGTTCAAAAATTATAATTTTAAATGAATAAAAGTAATATTTCGGTTCGGAACTGTTTCATGATGGAATCTATGCTTCACTTCATGTAATTCAGATATCAGTTGATTAAGTCTGTCATAGATATATTAACAACTTAAATAAATGAATCATCTATATGTGTGATTCCATAACTATATTCATAAAGAAAAGGTCACGAATATGAAAGCATGTTGATACTGTATCATGTATGAACAAGAAGGGGGATTTGAGAAATTGTTTATTATTAACATGAATACACAGAATAGTTTGAATATGCTACGATTACGTCTATATCATATTTATACCCTTTGTTTAATTGTATCGCTTTTAACAACACATTTTACTGTCTAATGTAGATGTAATTTTTATTACATAATGTTAATCTAATTGAATTGGGAAAAGAAAAGAAATTTCATGTTTCATGGTGTTCAGTCATTATTAATGTTGCCTCAACTATGTCATTGTAATAGCCCCAATGTCACGTGGCTTTCTGTAATCTACTCTGTGCAAATACTCGCTTTAGGAAAGCAGAGACGTGGAACGTACGTGACACGTTTTGTCTAGACTGGGAAGGGGGTGGGGGTTACAAAACGGCTATCTTAAAATTTCGTCTGTTAAGATGGCCCATTGAAAAGGTAGAAAATTTCTGCTTCTTCTTTCACAGTCATCTTAATCATCATCATCATCATCAACAACAACAACATCACCACGCTCAGCTTCATCATCTTCTCCATCACCACGTTAATCATTACATCCTCGTCACCATCATCACCACCACTATCCCCATCATCAACGCCAATATCATTGTCATCGTCATCAATATCATCATCATCATTACCAACAACAACAACCTCATTTCCACCATGACCACCAAAATCACACAAAATAAGGGTGAAAAGTGAGAAATGACAAGAGTTAAAATTGTGAAAGAAATGACATGTATACGTGGCACGTTTTTGTTTCAACAGGGAAAAGGGGGGTTCAAAACGGCCAATTTGGAAGTTATTTAGAATTTAAAATATTGACAACCATTGAAAAGACAAATACCAATTCCTAAGTTTTGCCATCATCATCAGTATCATAATCACTTTTATCACCGCCCCCATCTTCGTCAACATCATTACAACCACCACCACCACCACTGCCACCACCTCCACAATGCAACGAACTACTTCAAGCACCACAACCACCTCCAACACCACCACCATCACTACCATCGTCATCATCATCATCATCATCATCATCACATTTTACATCTACAACCAATCCGATACATCACTTTCGACGTGACACGTGGCAATAAGTGTTACTGAATTAATTTTATTATGTAATTAAGTACCTTAACACGCATTATCGTGAATGTACGAGTGTACACAAAGTTAGCGGACAAGGAGTAGGAGGCAAGAGGATTGAATATTTGTTTTGAGATATCCGCGAATGGTACGAGAAGAAAAGTGTGTTATCCTCAAAAGCTTTAGCGTGAGAAATTGTGAAGTGTTATGAAAACAAACATATCAATCTTATATAGTAAATATGCAGCCACGAGACAAATGCGTGTCTATATATTTTGTTTGTAACCGAATATAACTTCAAGTAAATAATGGTCCTTTTGATTTACATCAAAATTGTGATGCAGAGGCAGAGAAGAAGAGGCGGGCAAGAGGAATGGAAAACTTTTAGAGATATTCGCGAATGGTACGAGAAGGAGAGGTTGCTGTTCTTAATAGCTTTAGCGTGAGAAATTGAGAAGATGTTATGAAACAAACATATCAATCTTATATAGTAAATATTCAGCCACCTTCCTTTTGATATACATTCAAATTATGATGCAATATCAAATCTAATTCATGAAGCAAAACAAATGTGCAAAGATGGACAGGTGTCAATTTCCCATAGGGTTATGTCTATGGAGGCATCCTCTATAAATAGAGGACAATTCTAGCATATCCAATCAAGTTCGTTACATCTCTTCAGAAGTACGGTAAGAGCTGGCAAGACATCGGACGGAACGCCTTACACCTTTACCATCCTAATCAACAAGATTTGGGAAAACCTGAGCATTTAAAAAGGTGAAATTTTCCTTTTTTAGGTTCTGAAAAATCATAGCGAAAGTAACAAATCGAAATAGCAGGCCTTTCAGTCAGATTGTTTGTTATCGGCTAGAGAATGGGAACTGTCTTGCGACAAATCCTATTGAGCATGTCCTCAGTTTGGAAGCCTGACTTACAAAACTTTAAAATATTGATTTTACTATTCAAATGACTTTCCAGAGCTACTACTGAGCGAATTTCAAATTTTCATCTCTCAATACAAAAATCTCAAGTTTTCTCAAATCCAGTCGCAATGGATTGTACGGTGTGAGGTAACCTCCGGACGATTGTTCTTCGCATTTTGCAGTGGGGCAGTATATTCTTTTCTCAATATTATCTATTGTAATTTCTATATATTATGGACAAGTCCAATGTCGTACTATTTAAGCCTCGGTCAAAAATGCCATTACGAACTGCTACGAACGCCGTACGAACGATTTTCAGACAATGGAAATTCGGGAAGACAATGGAAAAACAGGAAATTCGTACGAAATTATCGTTCATACGAACCTTTGTGACCGTAGCATAAGTCATTTGTTCTCCATATCTTACCGAGTATCCCGGAATTGAGAACATAAATTGGCTTAAAAAAAGAATGATTTATCTTGATATTTAGTCTAATCCACAATCGAGTCAGGCTACCAACAATATTCGTCGGATGTTCATTTCAATCTCGTATTCATAATTTTCATCTTCCTTGTATATTGTTTGTTTTGAAAAGAAATAAAACTAGATTATTTATCTTGATTATTTAGTCTGATCTACTCGAGTCAGGTTTGCAACAATATTCGTCGGATGATTATTTTCATCTCCTGTTTTATAAACTTCGTCTTTTTTGTGTGTGTTTTGATATCAAATAATCTAGACAAACAACTAAACCAAGATGCAAGCTCTCCTTGTTCTCCTCTTCGCTGCCGTTGCTCAGTGCAGCCTTGCGCCTTTCTACCAAGTTAAGCCTAACATTCCTGGCCAGTACATTGTCGTTCTTGAGGTAAGATCATCGTACGTCATATTAGTTTAATCGACTGATTTATATAGTTTTTGACATTGGATTTAACTACATTGAAGCTCCAGGTAACTTTGTTTTGACGATGGAAAACTTTTTGTTGTTGCAATTATTTTAAGGCAGGTTGAATTTTTTCTCATAAAAGGGTTAGTTCATCGATGATACTTCTTGTTATTGCTATTACGTTCCTGCTTGATAAAGAGACTTTAGGCTTCAAAATAAATCAGTACAAAAAAAATGGACCTGGCCTCCCCATTGCACAAGTAGAGGACCTAAGTGCTAATGTCATATTCGTTCGTCGTGTTAATGGTTCTAAACAACAGAGTCTGCGCATGAGATCCACCGCGAAATCAATAAAGCAACGGGCTGGAGAGAGCAAATTCAGTGCTTGGGTCTGGTGTGATCACCATGCCATTGTTTAGCACAACATTTTGTTTAAAGCAGCAACATTTACAACTTGGCCAGAATGACGTCAGATCTCGGTACTGTATTGTTCTGTGATTGTGATTGTTACTATGTCGGACAAGTTTTAGTTTTCAAAGCTAACTTTCATAGCTGAATTATGTTCGCTTTGTTCATAGTTATTATCATTGCTATAATTCTTTTGTAGGATGGCATCAATGTCGATAGCTTCGCTGCCACCATGCAGACAGGGACCGTCCGTAGGACCCTGACCGGCCTCATCAATGGACTCGTTCTCACCCTCGATGGCGATTTGCTTGAAAAGGTGAGCAAAACATTATGCTAGACAGTTTTATGATAATCGTGATGATAATGATTCACCTGTATGTTTTTGTTTGTGTATGTGTGTGTGTGTGTGTGTAGCAATATAAACATACACATTAAAAACAGTTTGTAGTATACAACTCTTTATCCTCAAACTATCAAAAAAAAATAACATGCGGCGTACCCCAAGGATCCATCCTGGGCCCACTTCTATTTCACATTTACATCAATGATATTTCGAACTCCTCCACTAATCTCACATCATAGACTATAAGCCGACGACACTGCCCTCTTTTGTTCTCATTCTGAGCTTGATTCATTGGTGAATAAAATAAATAATGAACTCCAAATAAAACGCATACAGGAATCGTTTTAAAAAAAAAAGTCACGGAGTCACTATCGACGAAAACCTAAGTAGGCAACAACACATACATATATCAATAGAACCGTATCACAAGCTGTCAGCATTTTATTCAATCTTAAGAATATTCTTAAAAACGATCAACTCTTTATGCTTTTTAATATTTTAATCCTCCACCACATATCATATTGCTATGTGATCTGGGTAAATTCTGCAAAATACAAGACTAATCAATTGTTTGTAACCAACGTTTATAAATTTGGAAAAAGACCATGATAAGAAGTAAATCAATCAATCAAATAAGAATCTCAACTATCCTTCATTTTTATGATGATGTCCATAACATTGCCCTCATCATTAAACAGTATCACGTGACAACGATCCTCTCATTGGATTGGGTGTTAGAGTTTATGTTTCCCTCAGGACACATTTGGTCATGTCCGCGTGTAATATTAACGTTTTCAATCATTTTTAGCACAAATGGATTTTGACATGCCATTTTAAAAACCATGTTGCTCAGTGAAGCGTGTACAGGTTAATGCCATCAATGTATCATTTTAAAGCATATTGCTTGGTATATAAATACCTTTTGAAATGTCCTAACAGTCCAATGACTTATACAGTCCGAACACGATTCCTATGGGCAACAGGTGGTTTCTTTGAAGTTCTTGAGATTTGTATTCATATATCAGCTACTTCCCGCCGTCAGTATTGACATAGTACTATTATCATCGTTCTTATATCACATCTTTAATTCACAATGTAATTTCTAATTTAACGTAATGTTCATCAATCAACACAAAAATTATGTTCCGCATTTGGCTCCAATCCGGTCATCTTTAACAATGCAATTTCCTATCTGTCCTTTAATTAACTCCACATGATTGTTATACTCTGTCATAGTTAACAATTATCTCTTAATCTTATAGATTTACTTTGTTACCTTGATTAATGGCATGTATTCATATACCTATTTGTGATGCGTGTTTATACCTTTTTTAAGATGTGACACTTTCGAGAGTTCGACTAATTACAAGTATATAAGTATTAATTTGTTATGTAACCACGCAATGTATAATACTTGTCTCACTGAACATTATTGTGGTCTAAAGGTACGTAGTTTGACTGGCATCAGTTACATTGAGGAAGATGGACTGGTTACTATGCTTGGTAGCCGAACCGGTAGTAATTACTGGGGGCTTGACCGTATCGATGAGCGTTATCTTCCTCTTGATGGCAACATAAACTTTAGCGGTAAGCAGAATCAATAGGGGTCATCCAAGTACATTATCATTATCATGAGACCGACGTAACAAAGAGAGTTATAGGGAATTTTTTAGTTTTAATCAAAAATATGTCGGTCTCAAGGGCTGTTGGTCTCATGTGCTGTAGGTTTTGTGGGTTGTGGTGAATCCATGATATGAGCCATATTAAATACCAAAGTGATAATGTCATATTTGTTCGTCGTCCAGGCTACTGGTTCAAAACAATAGAGCCTGCGCATAAGGTTCACCGCGAAATAATTTATTATAAGAAACGGGATGGAGCAGGGCAAATCCCAACAAAAAGTGAAAACTCACGGCTAAAAAGGGATTGGCCTATATATTTTAACGCACAGCTAATTTGTGCGTATATTTAACCGTGGATTAAATTTAAACCTCCTTCGTGAATTCGGGCCATTATGTTTTAAATGTAAAGGACGTCGATGCGCGCACTGAGACTAGACGCTCATTGTACTGTTTGGCTTCCCTTTAGCCAGACGACGATCATATTGCGCCACCCCCTTTTAATAGTATTTTTCAGTAAAGTTAATGGAAACCTCCTTTACAGTGCAATGAGCCCGATAATTGTGATTGAGCCGATTGTGACTTAACCTGCTTGCAGTACATATTCAGTGATGCACTAGCAAACATGAACTCATAATCCGTAAGCCCTTGGGATTAAACAAAAATAAGGCTATTGGACACTTAATGGGGAGGCGCTAATTTGTCCAAAGGTTTGTAATTCCAAACCACAAATTACCCATACCCGGGGTACATAATTTCCGTTTATCCCACGTTTCGTAATTCCGACAAATAGGATTTATCATTCAGAAAAACTCATAGGATTCATTATTCCAAAGGTTAGTAATTCCGAAAAACGATATGACCCTATTTTAGGAATTATAAACCATATTTCATTTTTATTTGCGGAACTACGATTCTTCGGAATTGTGAACCTTCGGAAATACGACACTTAACCTGCATATAATCTTTCGTGCAACGAATATTTCAATGCTTCTCCTCCATTCACTACAGGTACGGGTTCAGGGGCAAATGTTTTCGTTCTCGATACCGGAATCACTTACTCGCATGAGGACTTCGACAGTAATCGTGCCCAATCATTCTGGGATTACAATGGTGGAGATGTAAGTGACTTTTAACACTTTCGAGACAGTTTGTTTGTTTGTTTTTATTTCTATAACAGTAATAACAGGAGAGTGCGGTGTCTCTGAAACCATAATGCTGTAACTTGTTAAACTAATAACATGGTAAATTATAAATAGATATAACCATGGCGGATAGCCCATTTCACTTGTATTTTACATATTGCCACTGCTCTTTTCGTGGGGTCCTATGAACATGATAAATAATCACACACGTGAATAGCAATTGTAATACAACGGGGGAAACGAATATAATCATATAGGGGTATACAAAGAAATCCTGGAAAAATATAACAAAAAGAAAGAACATGTTTACAACAAAATATAAGGAGTTATCGACATAAGCTAGTACATTAGATTTAAAATTAATAAACTGTGGAAATAGTACTCAAATGAAATGGCAGTTGATGATAGCCTACTGATTACACATCGAAGTCCACAGTTCTAATATTGTGGTTTGGCTCTATAACTTTTAATTCAGACCTAATATATGTAAAGGCTGATGCGTTAAAAGGGTAACAATTTCTACATGCAATGTGTCCTTTTTTGATGCGTGGCCATATTGCGTTTCCTACCAGGAACTTTTGATTAAAAAAGCCTTGAGATCTTTAAATTTGCAACATATTCATCAATATATCAATATATATCTTTCTTTTTTTATAAAACAAAATTGAAGACATATTCTCTATAGACATATTAGTCCACACTATTTTATTCAGAGTATAATCTGGCCTTAAAAGAAGGAGAAAAAAACGTTGTTGGCAATTTAAGAACATGTGATTAATTGTTAAATCTCTCTCTTTCTCTTCCCCTCCCTCTCTCTCTCTCTCTCTCTCTTTCTCTCTATCTTCCTCTTTTATATATCATAAGGGCTCTGATTGCCAAGGTCACGGAACTCACTGTGCCGGAACAGTCGGAGGACGATATAGTGGTGTTGCCACTGGTACCAACATCTACAGCGTTCGTGTGTTGTCCTGTTGGGGAACTGGTTCTACTTCTAACATCATAGCTGGTAGGCTTATACATCGTAACCCATCTTAACCAAAAATATTTGAAGTATCAAATGAGATTCTTTGCTCACAATATTTTGACCAGTCTTATATTCACAAGGATTATTAACAATGATATTAATAATAGTAATAATATTAACCATGATATTAATAATAATAGTAATAATTATAACAATGATAATATACAATATGAGTTTTATTTATAATACTCATTATTACCACCACCACTACTACTACTACTACTACTACTACTACTACTACTACCACTACTACTACTACCACTACTACTACTAATAATAATACTAATTACAATAATCATAAGTTATAACTAATATTCATGATAATAATAATTATACTTGCAATAATAATGATATTAGTAACAAATTAATGATAATGAAAGTTAAAAATTAATAACAATTACAATGATGATGATAATAGTAACTAACTTAATAATCATGATAGTTAAAAAGCAATTACGATATTAATAATGATATCAACAATGATAATACTATTAATAATAATAGGAATAACAATCATAATTGTAATTATATTTTATTTATGACAACAGTATAAATGATTTAATGTTATATTATAATAATGATAATATAATGATAGTGATAATATTATAATAATGATAATAATAATAATATTAGTAAGAATAATAATGATAATAAGAATAATATTAGTAAGAATAATAATGATGATAATAATGATTATAATAATGATAATAACATAATCATATAGATGCATAAATAAAGAAGTTAAACAATAATTTTTTTCTGAGAGTTAAGGCCAATAGGGGCCTTTTTTCTTCTTTTTGCAAATGATTTTCATGCTGGAATTCCATCGACCTTTCCTAGTCTCCCAAATGTTGGTAGAGGGGTGCATATTTGTGTTTACTCATTAGTGCGGGGGCGGCGGACGTTTCGAGCCCTCGTAGGTAATTGGTATGAAGCTGGCAGATAGCATCTTAAGGTACTTACCTTTGACCTTCTTTCCTATGAGTCCGGTCAATTTAGGTTTTTCAAAGGTTTCCGGTAGTGTTCGACATCAGGAACAACATGCTAAAATTCTTTAAAAATCGGACCCCCGGAAAGCGGTTATTTTACAAAATGACATCCAAGATGGCCGCCAATACCTTTTAATTGCCATTACTCATGGTATAACCGTCTTAGAGATGTGATTTTGGTTTCTATAACTAAGGTTTGAGGCTTTGAGTTCTCCATTCATACCACTTATAATGGGTTATGTTAACCGAGAAACCTGGAAATCCAAGATGGCGTCAAAAATGGCCGCCAGCCCAATAACCCAATGACCGATATGATTTACTGTTTACAGTAAAGCTGTAGTTAGCAAGATTCGAAGTATGGGCTAAATATATGAATAGTCATTGGCATGCTTTGAATTATTATAAAGGTTAAGAGTAGCCTCATACTCAACACAATAGCAAAAGAGGGCCGCCGTTTTGTAATCCAAGATGGCCACCGGAAACTGAAATTAACCATATATCGTGATAATTTTTTATATCCGTTTTAGAGATGTAATTATGGTATCTGTACCTAGGTATCAGGGGTCGACAAATTCACGTAGACTGTTTAAAATGTGTTATGGCCACCAAAAAACTGTAAATCAAAGATGGCGGCCAAAATACATGACATGAGACCGATCCTTGAGTAGGATGGCATGGAAAGTAATAAACATTTTCAATAGGTCGTATTTAACACCTGTTATAACTATTTTCATATTAGACAAGTTTTATGACAATGTGGAAATGAATGAACGTTTCTCTCGGGAAAACCCCATCCAGTGGAATATTCAGCTTAGGGCTGGTGCACCCACCCCACATATACAGAGAAGAGATTATTTAAAACAAACACTTTAGTAGCACCGGTCTCCAATGTGATTCAGACACTGCGAAGATCCCCCACCTTGTGTGAGTATCTGATGGAAACAACATCCTTTAATTAATTGCAAGGCATTCGGAAAGAGCATAGGAGGCATATCAATACTAATGAGGCTACCCTGAATAAATCAAACAATTATTGTTGTCAATCTATTCAAATCTTTGATGTGCTTAGATTTTCGAGAGAATATTGCGTTTGACGATTGAAAAGCTTTCTCAAAGCCACGTATTTTACTGAGATTTACAGAAGAAACCGTTCCTCTCTTTCCAGGGGAACAAGAGAATGAAAGAGAGAGAGAGAGAGAGAGAGAGAGAGGGGGGGGGCATACCTTAAGAAAATCCACGAACAATTACATTTTCGCGGATCCCTTAAAACTACCCCCTTTTTGCTACGCGAAATTTTGAATTATCATGCATAGACTGTACTTAAAGTCAACATTAAGTGATACCACTTGGGCTTTTTCTCTTCGACTTCTAAAGGTCTGGATGCTGTGGCGGATTCCAGCATGTCCCGAAAGATTGCTTCTATGTCCCTTGGCGGAGGTTATTCTTGGTCTCTCAATAACGCCGTTGCCAGTGCTCATGATGCAGGGGTTGTTGTCGTTGCAGCAGCCGGTAACAGCTACGACGATGCCTGTGATTACTCCCCAGCTTCTGCCTCGGATGTAAGTCATATCATTTCTTTTAAATTCTCCTGTGCTTGATTTTGTATAATTCCTAATAGTCTAAATAATAAATTTTTTAAGAAAAAGGTTTCCACAATACTTAGAATCCAGTCTGCAAAAAAATGATTGTTGGTATGTCGGGCAAGCCTTTGGAAAGCTTTCAACATCTCAAGAACTATCTTTTTTAAAGTATGCCTAAAATGTGAATATGTTAGTACGCCTATTTCTATTAAGAGTGTACCCAGATATAGGCGGTCCAGTCATTTGGCCATTATCTTTTATTTTGATATTTCATATCAAGTTCCCACTTCTTGTTTGTTAGCAGTGCCTATTTTCAGTTGGTTTTTTGTTCAATTCAAACTTTAATTTTGTTCTCCAACTTTAAAAAAAAAAAATCATATACGTTAGTTCCTCTAATTTGTGTTGTGGTAATGGTCCCTTTGATGTATATTGTAAACAGTTTCTTGTTTGTATTTTATTTTTTGTTTTTATCATTTTGTTGTACATCACAAGGCTTCATGGAAAAAATTAATAAATAACCCTGGGTTTTTTATAGGCAAAACAACTAATTAACTATAAATAAATGAATAATGAAGTAAACCGACCCTGTGATCCATCGACAGGCTATCACGGTTGGTGCGACCTCCGTTGACGACTCTAGACCATCTTTCTCATGCTACGGCTCATGCCTGGACATCTTTGCCCCTGGTGATGACATTAAGAGCGCTGAACATGAAACATCAAGCAGCTACACAAATTTTAGTGGTACCAGCATGGCATGCCCTCATGTTGCGGGTAAGGATAAACAAAATTAATAACAGAAATTGTAAATAATTATCAATTACTAGTAATTCAATTCAATTCTATTCAATTTCGGTTTTATTACAAATATACCAAATAAAAAGTCCAAAGACTAACAATAATTGGCTTACAATGTATCATATAAAAATGCATACAAAACAGTAGATTTTAAAATTCAGTAATAAGTTAAAGTACAATGCTAGTAGGCTAAATACTAGTAGTATTTTTCATTTGTAGGTCTAAACTTTAATAACACTTTCAAACATTAGCCTATCAATGATCGAGATCATCGAATACTAGATTATGAATGATACTAACAAATATTGACGCTATAGCATCATTTCTGGCACGTCATCATCATGATCATGATTCATAATTGAGAATTATAAGCTGTAAACCATATTACTAGGGACATTTAGATTCGCATGACGAGAACGTAGACTGCTACGTGGACATCCTTTTAAGGCAATGTGACGTCCTTTTAAGGCACTGGCAGTGCCCGGCAGTGTGCCTTAAAAGGACGTCACATCGCCTTAAAAGGATGTCCACGTAGCAGTGCACGTTCTAGTCTTGCAAATCTAAAAGTCCCTATTTGGTAAGCAGAGTGTACGGATGCCGGTTTACAACTATTAACTTGTGTCCTAATAATGATACATGTACATACATGTTTAAAAGTTATTTGATTTTGAAAATACAAATTAACGACATTTATGACATCTAATCTGGGTTTGTCTCCCCTTCTTTGTTTAAAAAAAAAATAACCAGGCGCCGCTGCAGTCATTCTCGGAAACAATTCCGGCTACTCTCCTACTCAAGTGGCATCTAAGTTGGTCAGCGATGCTACTTCGGGCGTACTCTCGAACACTGGTTCAGGAAGCCCAAATCTTTTACTGTACGTCGCATAGACCCTTCAGTAAAATGTTCCATCTCCTTTCACTAACTCGTCTTTGTGCTTTATTCAAAAACGACCTTAATCTTTTCTGTTCAACTCTCAGTTGACTTTATTTTTTAAAGAGGGGGTGGGGTCCTCAAAATAATCGACATACTAATACCTGGTACAGACCTTTGGTAGATTTCGGCATGAAAACCTTTTCTTTGAGGCGTGGGGATGAGTGTTTAACCTGAAAATTACAATTTTAATTATTCTTGAAGGATAGACACAAAAAGAGACATCCACTTTACAAACAGTTGTAAGTGGTGATAGGAAATATTTCATATTTAAACAAAAAACAGGGTTCTCTGTAACAAAACGATATGGTAATCTATATTTTTGGATGTAATGATTTTGCGAGACACCGGTGTATATCAAAGGAGATGATGGAACATTGAAAATAAAAAGCAATACGCATAATCATGTATTTGAGTTCATAATTTGTTGTTGTTTGGTTTATGGCAATGAAGTAACAAGAGTGAAATATGGAATATATAGAGAGAGAGAGGGAGAGAGAGGGAGAGAATGGGGAGGTTGATAGATAGATATAGGGGCGTCTCTAGAGGCGGCTTGTAAGGGTGTTACATCTCCACCCCCACTCCCTCCGACACAAAATTCATGTCGGCAAATGAGCCACCTTTGTAAAAAATATGAGGATAAAAAGGGAGGCGAGAATGTAAAGCAGAAGGGAGAGGAAAAAAAGAAAAAAGAAAGTGAAATTGAGAAATCTAGAAAGGAGACGAAGAAGAACGAAATTGAATTAGGGAAGCGAAAGAGGGATAAGAGATGAATGATATAAGGGATGAAGAGGAAAGCGTTAGAAGAACGATAACTAAAAAAAGAAAGAAATAGAAAAATTAGAGAAAAAAAATCGAAGGGATGGAGAATGAATAAATTAAGAAGGAGAGGGGGGAATAAAAGAAGGAGAGATGAGAAAAACGAGGAACAGTGGCGCCCGAGTAAAATTATTACAAAATAAAATTCATATCCAGGACTCATACAATACTGGCGCACTTGCGGAGGGAGAGGGGGCTTGGAGACTGCCCCCCCCCCGAAATAAAAAAAATATCCCTGCCATAACGAACAGGGAAAACAAAAGAAAATTAAAAGAAATGAAAAACGAAAGAAAAGAGGCAAGGAGAATGGAAGTTTGACAAAAACCGTACCGGTTCAAGTTCTTTGATACTGTATATGGGTCATAGTTCGTACATTGGGGCTTATTAATGAATATAAGTTAATGCGTTTTATCAAGTAAGTCTATAGATAAAAAAATATATTTCATGATGAAAGGAAAAAGTTTTTGAATTAGATCGAAATGACTAATTTTTTTTTGTTATCTCTCATCCTGTAGACAATTTTCTAATAAGCCAACAAGCACAGTTTAAAGCTTATGAAATATCATGAAACAGTTTTCTACACTGTAAAATAAAAGGATTACTACAAGTAGGGGCCAAAATTCCATCAGGGAATCTTGAAAAATAGAAACGAACAAACAAACAATAAAATGTGCAGAGGAAGTGTAGCAAATCGCAAATGCTTTCACAGTGCATGGTTATTGCTCTTATTCTCATCTATGACATTTCTAGTGCCCTTTTAGGACCTAAAATTGCTTTGAAGGTAATTTTAGACCACACAATTTGTGAAATTTAGCCAATACGATCATACTAATTCAGTTCCACTTTAAAAAATACGGTGACCGTTAATTAATTAATAATAACAATACGTGAGCCTGCTGGTTGTGCGTAATATAACCAACACGAAAAAGCCAACTATAAAGCCATGATCGGCATTGGCTGAAATACCACGTGAAAGGCGTTATTTTGTTTTTCCAACGGCTGGTTCAAATCATCTAATATTTGTGGTGGTATACACAAGTATTAGAAGACGTTATATTTATGGATATTTCAGCCGTCTCTGAACCGATTTTGATCAAACAAAGATGATTCTGTCATTTAAACTGTATGTTCTTTCAAATTTGACACTCAGTTTTTCATTATCTCACAAAAAATTATTTTGTGTAGCGCCCTCTGTAACAGAACTCAACTATCCCTTTAAGGATAAATAGGGCAATAAATAGAGGCACAACAAAAATAATAATGTTAAACACTGCCCATCCCAATACGAGAATAAAGTGGCTGGTAAACTCTGACTTCTGATGAGAGTTGCTTTAAAATGCACAGTCCCAAACTAAAATCGTGAACTTTTCAGTCCCAAACTTTTCAGTCCCAAACTAAAATCGTGAACTTTTCAAACTCGGTCGCTACACGACCTCGCAAAAGAAGATACGAGTCATAATCTAAAGTTACCAAGGGCGTCGTGAGAAATATTCTTTAACGATAGGCACAAATAGGGACAACCACTATACAAACAGTTATAAATGATGATGAGAAATATTTTAAAATAAAATTAAAAGTTTTCTGTAGCAGAACGATATGGTAATCTATATATTGGAATGTCAATATTTTGCGAGACACCGGTCTATAAGTAGATGATGGAACAATGACAATTAAACATGTGTGACATGGCCCGCTGATCGCCCATTGACTGTTATTCTGCCTGGTGAAAATGCACTTCAATGTATAAAACTCCCCTACAAAAATGCAATATCCTCATGGGTTTCACTTTTTGAATCAATTTGTTAGTAACATTCAAGGTAGCCACAACTGTACTGGGGTTACCAACAATTTTTTTTCTTCTGAAATTCAGTCCTTGTGGAAGCTTATGGCCTGTTGAATTGAATGGTTTCTCGGAAAATCGTCATAAATCCTCAAATCTGACATTTAAAAAAAATAATATACTGTGATGTAGCTGAAAGTCTGCAAATTTTTATCATTTGTTCGGTTTTTCTGAATAATTTGTGAAACATATGAGGAAATAGCTGTAACGGTGATCCAAGTAATTTTTATCGCCATATTTTATTGGCATTGCAAAAATATTTGGAATTTAATATTAATATTAGGTGTAAATATGATCTATAAATATATGATTTTAAAAAATGCCAACAAAATAAACAGTTTGACCTTCCTATATATATAATTAGCTGAAATGACCTAATTTGCATATTTGATGAATATTCATAATTTTTTTTTTCTTCAAAAAAACAACAAAACAATTCCATACCTGTCTGATATACATAGGTTTCATTGATGTATCATGGTCGGTTTTGATTTTATTACGTATGCGCACATTAATTAGACGAACTTAGTTATTTTCACAACTTTTTCAAATCTGCAGATTCACAAAAATGGCAAAAATGACTTAATTTGTTTGCTTTTGTTTTCAAAACGGTAATAGATATATGAATCTTCTTTTTTGTATTTTTTACCACAAAGATGATATTTTGGTGTCTGATAATTTAATTTATTATTTGCGTCCAAGAAAGTGATGAATTAAATTGTCAACTTTGTCGAATTTTGCCATTTTTGCCAATTTGACCATTTCTGGCAGGTTTTTCGGTAATTTTGCGATATCAAAAAAATGGTATAAAATCACAACGCATTGACCGATTTCAATTCTGTTTTTTTTTCTTCGAAGCTTTCATAAAGCTTGATCATTTGCAATCTTCAAATAACATGTGTTTGTTGTACTTATTTTTGGTGTGCTATACTTAATACTAGACATCATCGCCATCTTGACCATCACAATCAATGTCATCGTCATTATCATCACCAACATGAACACAACTAATAAAGTGAATGTTATGCCAGCGAAGTTATGACAAGGACTCACAGGAAAGGACACATTACACTATAATTATATACAGAAAGGAGACCATTTAAGCCTGAAAACTGGAGGCCTATAACACTCCTGAGCTGTGATTACAAAGTCATAGCAGCTGTTTTAGCACGTAGGTTAACAACTTTTATTACACAAATTATTGACCCAAACTAAACTGGGCATATAAGATGTCGTTTTGCGACTCATAATGGTCAATTAACAAAAGACATTATTGCATATATAGAGAAGAAAAAGTTAAACTGGATCGATTATGATGGTAGATTTCACTGGTAGAATTTGATGTTGTTGATATTCTATTTGTACATTTTTTGTGTAGAAAAATTGAACTTTGGACCGTCTTTTCGAAAGTTGTTCGAAGGTCTTAAAAGTAGAATATCAACAGCCAACATCAAAATCTGTAGAACTTTGCAGGAATTACGAATATGACACGTATGTCCTATCTGTGAAAGATAAACGTTAGCAGTGTCCTATTTATTAAATTGTGCAAGGAAACCTATATTTTACTTAAGGCGTCATTAGAGGGACATTTGGAGTGAAAAAATGAGTCATTAAGGTTGGAAAGTAACCTTTGACCACTTTTTCAGATCACTGGGGGGGGGGGGGGGGGGTCGAATTATATTTCCTTGTAATTATGATATAGATAAAATGGACTTGAAGGGTATACCATTGTTTTATAAAGACATGTTGAAAGCATGGCAAGAATTAGATAAATGCAGACGCTTTGAAGAAAATAAGAATAATCCGATTATATTTAGCAATAAGTATATATGTCTCAGCAATAAAACATTTTTTGATATCGAACTATTTCAGAAAGGTATACTTCAAGCATCAGATATAATTGTCAGAGGTCATTTAAAACCGGTCTTACATGTTTTAAATTTGGGTTTTGCAACTAAAAGCTTGCTTAGAATTCAAAAGATCTTTTCAGCAATAGGAAAAGAATGGATACAAAGTGATTTTATGGAAGTGGACACTGAAAATTTTGAAATAGAATTGATGATATTTGGACGTTTACAGAAACTATGTGATATAAAGTCTAGGCGGTTATATGATTACTTCATTGAAGCCCTTCAAAAAGGGTATACATTACATGTTACAGACGGCATCTGTCAATTTGATCTTGGAATGACGGAGTTAAAAGAAACATTCACAAGGACGAAATGTGCAATGCTATGTAATAAACATAGAGAGTTTCAATACAAACAATTACAAGGGGCTGTTTATACGAAAAGAGAGCTCTTTAAATTTGGTTTTGAGTCAGACCATTTTTGTTCCTTTTGTAGAAAAGAAGTAGAGACATATCAACATTTATTTTTAGATTGTCTTAAAGTTAAAAGATTGTGGCAGGAGGTAATTCAAAAGTTACATTTAATCGAAATTGACATTGATGATTGGAAACCCATTTTTATGGGAATATCCGGCAATACTGCTAGAATATTTGTAATAAATTGTGTCATATTTCTAGTAAAGTATATCATTTTTATTTTCTAGAAAAGAAGGAACTTACAAAAATGGGAACAAATCGATGCATTTTTACTTTAATGGATGTGGGTATTAGTATTATTATTACTATTAATTCTCTCTCTTGTAAAGGTGGACAAACCGGAAGAGGTTGCATGCAGTGTGTGTGTCGGCGTGAATGGGGTGTGAGGTGGTTGGGCTAGAGTGGGGGGGGGGGGGGG